AGGAGGAAAAAACCTTTTCTCTACCCTCTTAGGTTAAATGACTGGGTCTGAATTAAACTGACCAACACCAGACTGACAGGAAAAAATATTTATTTATTTTTTTTAACATTTATTCATTTTTAAGAGACAGAGCATGAGTGGGGGAGGACATAGAGAGAGGAAGACACAGAATCTGAAGCAGGCTCCAGGCTCTGAGCTGTCAGCACAGAGCCTGATGGGGAGCTCAAACCCATGAACTGTGAGATCATGACCTGAGTTGAAGTCAGACGCTTAATCATCTGACCCACCCAGGCACCCCAAAAAAGATTATTTTATATGCACATGGCAGGACCATTGGGGTCGGGGGACACCCTCACAGGAAAAAAGTGAAAACCACAAAAGAGGTGGTTAGACCCAGATGCTTATATACCATTTTAACAAAGAGTAATCCAGTCTGAAGAGACTAGAAAAAGGAAGAGGGGGGAGTTTGGGGGTCTCGGGTAAGTGGTGGCAAGGCGACCAGGAAATGTGTGGTAAGTAAGAGTTGTTTAGTAAGGTTCGTTATGCAGGTAGGAGTAGTTCTCTTCCTAGTACATGAGAGGGGAACGCCTTTACAAAGGGAAATTTAAACCTCCATTTTCAGGCAGAATGGACAAGATCGGAGAGTTCTTCCTGTGTCTGGTGTTTTTCCATTGCCTTCAGCTCAAAATAATCCTATGCCAAGGTGGCTTATATTCTGATCCCTTCAACATATGGTCAGCCATACATTGTGCCTCTAGACGTGTGATCTATTTTGTTTGGCATATTTGTTTTGGATTTTTTTAAATTATGTAAGTAATTTACATTTATTGTAAAATTTTTAAAATTCAGACAGATGAAAGGAACAGCTAAGATCATTCATGATCCCACTGCTTTCACAAGTCAATGTAAACCTCCCATAGTTTTTCTCGGCATGTAGGATAGAAGCATTCCCCATACTTTCTAAAGCAGGGTTTCTTCTCCCTCTTATTTTACTCCCTTGGAATGGAACCAAACAGGGAAGTTTAGAACATGCTTTTTTGAAGCTCCTTAGTAGCCCCAGAAACACCCTAAGATGGGAAGCAAGAGAAAAACAATGAAAAAAGCCTTGCACTTGTTTTTACAAGTATTATCAAATAAAGATGATCAAAGATTTGAGACCTCAAACTTTTCAAAGTTGTTATATCAGGATTGTATTATGAATATATATATTAAATTTCAGTGATGAATAAAATTTGCATAAATAGTATTTTTCATTTTTCCATATATCAAAATTTAAAATTAGTGAATTGCCTTTTACTCTAATATCAGTGTTACAAATAACTAATCAAACAGCTTTAATAATAGAAGATTACTTTCACAGCAATGACTGACTTTCAGACTAGCTCCTGAAGGAACATGCATGCATATTTAAAGTTACACAGGTGAGTTTGTTTGTTACCCCAGGTTATGAACCATCGTCATAAAAAATGTACAATGCCCAGAAGATCTCATTTATAAGAGTGACTAAAAGTATCCTAGGGCAAAAAACCCCGATAATCAATATTTGGAACCAATATGAAGAAAACCTTAAAACTGTGACTTAGAGACATGAAAAGAAATAGAGAACATATCATACTCATAGATGAGAATATGAGAAAAATGTTAATTTCTAGAAGTTCATCTATAAATATAAAACTATCTCAGGCAAAATATTAAAAAATTTTTAACATTTGATGAACTCGTTTTTAAAGTTCAGCTGGAAGAAAAAAATTCATAAGAAAATATTAGCGAAGAATAATAATGAAATGACTTATTTTTCCAAATATTAAAATACACTATTAGAGGGCCGCCTGGCTGCCTCAGTCAGTAGAGTGTACAACTCTTGATCTCATGAGTTTAAGCCCCATGTTGGCTGTAGAGCTTACTTAAAAAATATAAGATAAAATATTGAAAAACACTATTACAGTATTAAAAATGGTGTGGTACCAGATACAAGAAGAGACAGGTCAGTGGAAAAGCCTAGAAACCTGAAAATAACCTGTGTATGTGCATGTGTAGAGACTGTCATTTCAAATACTAGTATTTCAGATATAACACCCAAAAAATGTGTCGATCCATGCTGGTAATTTCCAGGTTTTTTTTTTTTCACTGACTGGTTCCCTTGTTAGGCATTGGCCTCTCACCACTTGACTACCTTCTCCTACTTCTCAGACTGCTGTTTTCCCTCTTCCAGGTCCCTCCAAAAAAGTCTTCCTCCAGCTCTCAGGAAAGCTTCCAGATTCTTATTTCTTGGCGATGCGATCGATTTAGCTCTCCTTTGCCTAACTCCTCTCTCATGTGAGCTGAATAGTGCTCATCCTCACATCTCACAATTAAACAGGAAACCGCCTAAACAAAACTGCAATTCATTCACTGGGAGGGGTGCCTTAGTTCTCCTAGATCAAGCAACCAGCTTAAATTGCAGCCCATTTAGAAATAATATTTTTTTTCCTCCCCACAATACAAAGAAATGAAAAATATTCAGCCTCTTTTGTAATCAAGGAAATGCAAATTAAAGCAATCATGACTTAACTTTTTTCCCTCCTATCTGACTGGCAAAGATCAAAAAGGAATAGTCAGCCTAGTGGGGGCAAGGTAGAGGAAAGGACACTTTCACGATTAGTGAGGGCAGTATAGCATGTTATATTTTTTTCCAGGAGTATATCAACAGCTTTATTGTATATGCCCCCCGACCCCTAGGACAAGTGCAACTCTCCTTATAAGACTTTTACTCTAGCAGAATATCATGACTGTTCAAACGTGTGACCATGTTCATTTGGGCTTTATTTCCAATGGTGGAAAATGGTCACTACCATACTTCAGAGCAGACTACACCATCACAAAGATTATTTTGTGCAGAAGAATTCTATTTGACATTGGAAAATGTTCATCAGCTGTGAACTGGAAACTAGGCAAATGTTGTAAACCCCTGTATAAATGTGAAAGTATTTTCATTTATACAAAACCACACCGAGGGGCGCCTGGATGGTTCAGTTGGTTAACGTCTGACTTCTGTTCAGGTCATGATCTCGTGGTGTGTGAGTTCGAGCCCCACGTCAGGCTCTGTGCTAACACCTCAGAGCCTGGAGCCTGATTCAGATTCTATGTCTCCCCCTTCTCTGCTCCTCCCAAGCTCATGCTCTGTCCCTGTCTCTCAATAATAAATAAACATTAAAAAAAAATTTCTTAAAACCACACCAGGATTTAGATCATATGGTCAAAATTATTCATTAAATATTTACTGTGTGCTCAGTCTTCTGCTAGGTATTGGGTGGGAGTATGTTGAAAGTATAAAACATACTTGTTCTTGGGGCTCCTGGGTGGCTTAGGCAGTTAAGCATCCAACTTCAGCTCACGTTATGATCTCGCAGTCCATGAGTTTGAGCCCCACATCGGGCTCTGAGCTGTCACGAGCCTGGAGCCTGCTTTGGATTCTGTGTCTCCCTCTCTCTCTGCTCCTCCCCTGCTCATGCTCTGTCTCAAAAACAAAACAAAACAAAACAACATACTTGTTCTTTAGGGCTTTATACATCTTGTTGAACTGTTGAGCTTGAATATGTGCATTTCTTCCTTGCACACCCAGCAGGTGTAGCTGTAGGTAATGGGAAGAGCAGTGAATATAGACACAGATTTGAATCCTGTCCCTGTAACCTACTTGTCTACTCATACAAATTATTTGAGAATGAGAAGGGTGCTGACCTCGTGGGGTGATTGTAAGAATGGAGATATAACAAGGAGTGTTTCCCATGATGCTTGGTGAATTGTAATATGAGTATTGATAATTCATTATTATTAATACCTACTTAGTAATTATTAGTAATAGTAATGAATAGTTTCTTTAGTTTCCCTTCTAGAAACCTGTTTCCTCAGTGTAATACACTGGAGTCTCAGCTACTTGAATAAGTGAATGAATGAAATACTGGTTTTGAAAACACTTCATATGCCTTGAAGCATTATGAAAATGTCAGCTATTGATATTTGAATAATTTCATTACCAGATACAATCTGGCAAAAGTGTCCTGTATATGTATGTAAATGCTAAACGTGTGTTAAGTGCTGTTAGGATATGGGCATATAGGGTTGTTATAGAATTTAAGCAAATGAAAGCCTTGATGTGGTTGGTAATTCACTTAGGGGGCTTTCTGGGAAAGGTGTGATTGGAATGGGGCCTTGGATTACAGCAGATTTTGAATATGAAGAGCAATGTATTCAGAAGCATGTGACAAGAAAAGAAAGAAGACTGTATGTTCGGGGAATAGTAATTAAGACTAGCCTGCCTAGAGAGTGAGGTATACTTGAGGAGCCATCAGATAGGACAGGTAGAAGAGTGAGGTGTGGCTGACACAACAAGAGACCTTACTGATCTGAGAAATAAAGAAGAAGTATTTTAAGTTTGGGGCAAAAGAGTGACATTCCATCACCAACACATCAGTGTGTTAGAATATGTTTGTAGGGATTGACTTTGGTAATGGAGTGTGAACAAAAAGAAATTATGAATTAGCTACGGTTTTCCTTCTACAGTATATAGTTTGAATGCCCATTTAGTGGTGATAACTATAGCTAAATATTTTAGAATCCTTGTTGGATTCTTAAAATATTACGTGACATGACATGACTAAGTACAGATAATTTTGGAACTTGACTCAAAAATATGTCCATAGCCACCAGCATTGCCCTTTTCTGAGGCTTCTTGTTGTGATAACTTAAAGGAAATTTATGGTCCATTTTCTACACCTTGTGTTATTTGATGCTACCATTTGCTTGTTCTTTGTACTTCTTTCCATGTAGATTTTCAGTGTTAAGATGGTTATAATATTCCTTTATAATTTATATATGTTTCCTTGAAAGAAAGGAGATTTAAATAACTTATTAGAATCGTTAGCTGTAAGCCAACTAATGACTTAGTTACAATATATTCATTTTCAGTGTTTTCTTCCTGGGATTTCCTCTTACATATTTTTTTTCCTCACATTTCTCTACAGTATGGATGGCGCAGATCTGTGTTTTGAAATCGTAAAGCGAGCTGACGCTGGTTTTGTATACAGTGAAGCTGTAGCCAGGTATGTAATTTGTATTGACTCAGAGGTCACAGGGGAAATAAAAGAAGGAAATGACAGAGAAATCACATGAAGTGACCTGCTTTTTGAATTGATGAGGAGGAGACTGCCACTCTTTCCTACAAGGAACATGTCTGTTCTAGTGTGCAGTAGTGGAACCAAATAGTGACTGGAAATGCCAAATACTGAACAACGAATTTCTTAACATGAGTCTACAGCTTAACATGGTACTGTTGCCTTTCCCATTTGAGATGACTTTTATTCAAGAAGGGATTTGGTAGCTCAAGAACTATGAAGAATCAACTTTGGGGGGGTGGGGGTTATGTGTGATCATTGTTTTGGGCAGCTGAGCCTTCTTAGTTCTTCACTTCGCCTTTTAGTGATAGCACATTATTATGTGACCAGTTAATCTGATGAAATGCACAGAATAGTGGAAGGAATAGAAATAATAGCACAGTCTTCCTGCCAAATATATTTGCTTCAGGCCAGTGTGTGATCTCCCAAGCAAATGGTGGCCATTGTTCTAAGTCAAGTTGTTGTACAGGACTAATGAGTCAAAATAAGGAGTAAAGTTGAAAAATCACAGGAACCATGCACTGGGCCACTTGCTTATAGATTTGGAGCAATATAGCTTTCTGCTTTGGTGTCATTCAATCATATCATAAATACCCACTTCAGTGGGTTGCCTTTTTAATACATGGGGTCTCTTCAGTCACCAGCCATAATATATTGAAGGATTCAAACCCACAAACCAGTTAGGATTTATTAAAACTTTCTACCATCTGAGAAACAGTTACCATTAAATGATTATAACTTCCTCTTATCATCCTTTATATAACCATGGCATCTTGGACAGATACAGGTAGCAATAGCTTAGGGACTATCTAATACAACTCTCAGCTCAGAGTGGCTTCAGATTCAGTGCCCTGCCTCTTCCTGGCTAAGGAGCAAGGGCCCCAGTCTCAGGAGACAGAGCAGCCATAGCTATAGCACAAGATGAAGAATATACTCAAGTGAGGTAGCTGCTGAGGAAGCAGCATATGAAAGTTTATATACAGTAATTGTAATGACTTCTTTGAACTCCTGATGTATTCATGGTAGAACTGAGGTTGGGTATCCTCTTTTTTTCTGTGCCGTGCTCGCTAAAGCACATTCTACAGGGCGGTGGGGGAAGGGGAAGGGGTAAATCTCATTTTCCTATTAGTTTTGAGTTCTTAACACAATTAAAATTTTTTATTCTGTATTGTGCTTCAGAATTAAAAAGCATTCTTTAATACCAAAATAGTCAATGCCATCTTGATTTTTCTTAACATACAGCGGTAAACGACTTTATCCAACTGAATGAAACTCTCAGACCCTTGCATCTTGTCGTTTATATTTACTTCTTCAAGAATTTGAGGCAACCTGCCTTTTGTACCCTCCCAAATTGATCTCTTTCAACAGCAGCATCAAATAGGGAAAACTAAAAATTCTGAACATGGATTTTTATAAAACAGTGAAGCTTGATGAAGGGAGATGACTTTTTTCCTTTTGGACCACACTGGAGTACTGTGAGAAATAAGCCCACTGACCCAGTCAAAGGAGGGACACAGA